AAAACCAGACTCAGTACTCAAGGCTGCAAGAAATGCCTCTAATGGTCCACACAAATCATAGAATGATTAAGGCTGGAAAGACCACTAAGGTCATCTAGTCCAACCATCAGCCCCTACCTGTGTCTATAAAGACTGCCTGCAGGCAGTCCTCACAGCTGGAAGAGACAAGGTTGTGCTCACTGTCACTGCAGAAGTATCTGTTTTATTGATCAAATGTAGCCTCCTTCATTGTGGAAGTATTTGTTTTATTGGTTTTCTTTGGTTTTTCTTGAGGCTCTTTCCCTCAGCCTTGAGCTGGTCTTGCTGAATCAATGCTGCAAACTCAAGAGAGGTGCTGGAAGCCCTCCCATGCACCACTCCCAGCCTTGCAGTTGTGACAAACCTGTCCAGTGATCAGGAATGTTTTCCAGTGAAGGAAACCCGTATGGGCAGCCCCAGAAATCCAGAAATTTTGTCAGAGACTTTGACAAAGAAACTCTGGTTCTACAAATAGTCATAGAGGGTAAACTTGGCAAAAAACATGCATAATGCAACAGGAACGACAGCACTCAAAATCAGGCAGATCCAGTTGTGGCATTCACCATTACGGAAAGGTCTCCTCTGTCCCAAGAGTCTTCTGATGTCCATAAGAGAGCATAAATAGACCTTGAAGAGAGCAAAGACAGCAGCTTGGCAGAATTCCCTGGCACATCCTCAGGCTGATTCAAGCCCATGTGCTGAGCTGCTTTGGAGCAGCTGAGGGAACCCTGGGTGATGAGTGTGTGGCAGCTCTCCAGGACTCTGTCACTGCAGACCGCCTTGCACAACGCAGGGACCACACTGCCCTGCCTGGCTGTCTTGCTGCCTTCATTCCTGCTGCTTTGAGTGGCACCTACAAACCATCCAGGTTCAGACTTAGAGCTTGGGACAGCTGCCATGATAATAGCATTAATCAAACATCATTACAAGATGTGTTTTTCTTTAGCTTTCCTGCAGACAGTTCATTAAAGTAATTATTCGCATCAGTCGAACGAAGTCACTGCGATGTTGTCCCCAGCGGTTGGCCCAGAATGAGGGAAGATGACAAGTGTGGCCACTCATCAGCCCAAAGCCTTTCATTGCCTTTGGCTTTCTGTCTAGGTGCCCATCCATCAGACCAGACACTTCATGGACAGCAGCCAAGGATCTCCCTCATCCTTCTGTCTGCCAGTGGTTTGTAACACCACTGCCATTGAGAATTATGTTACACAGCTCTTCTTAGACCAGCCTGCAGACTTTACCACTTGCCTTTGTGCCACGGTCCTTTTGTATGGTTTGCCTTGGTACGTTCGCTCATTCGCTGGAGAAAATGGGCCGCATTCACAGTGACCTTCAACTTTTACAAGTCTTACATTGCTGCTCCATCCAGGCAATTCAGCAGAGCAGCTACGACCCTCTGGGCCAGGCCAATACCGCCGGTGCAGAATTTGGGGCCCGGAGGCAGGGCACGAGCTGCCCAACCCTTGCAGGTGGCCAACATCAGAGCTGGGAATAGCGCCCAGGAGGCGACTTGGCCCCAGGGGATGTGGGCAAGGTTAGCACAGCAAATAAAAAATGATCCCTCTGAAATAAATGTGACCCATAAAATACATAAACACTGACTAGTCGTAAACAGCACTTACTATTTACAGCATCAGAGCAGAAGGATATTTGCCAGCCATTTGCAGCTTAAAGGATAAACAGTACTTCTTTTGATCTTGACTTGTCAAAAGGGTTGTATTTAAAGCCATTCGTCTCTCCGCAGTTTTTCACCATTTCCATAATCTGTTTTGTGCTTTGCACCAATTCCTTCACTGCAAATATCACTGCTGCAATACAATAGTGGTGCATTAAATATCCTTTCTGATAATGAAGCAGGCCAGGAAGAGCTCCTCCACTCCCCATAACTGATACAGAAACATCATGGGGATGAAACATGAGAATTGGAGCTTTGACTAAATGGCTGCTTTGGTCACTATTTCTCTGAATATTTGAAAACTGGAGGCCTGGAAACACATGGGAACACGAAAGCAAGACTGAAAAAGAAAAAAAGAAAAAATTAAAAGACAAAACTGAGTATTTTACTAAACAGAGGAGTTTCCTGGTTGCTCGAGGGCAAGAAAGCTGTGTTTACTATAGCTACCAGGTTTGTTTAGAATGAAATACAACTCAACAGTAAACTACTCAGGATTTGGCTGCTCGTCCCTCCCCAGGCCCTCTCCTTGCTCACTGCCTCCATGGCCAACTGGCGCAACTCAACCGCATCGCCAGACTCTCTCTAGGAACCATTTACGGTCCAGGACCACAAACACTGTGCTTTCTTCCTATGGAAAATCCAATATTTAAAATGCCATCTGACTGGGCTCTAGCAGAAATTTGGAAGTGTCCTGACATCGTGGTCTGATTTCCTTTTTCTCGCAGGAATCTGTCGCCTTCTTCTGGCTCACTGACATGGATATGACTCAGGGTCTGATTCATTTTGATTTGGTCATTTCAGCTCATTGCAGTGTGACATTTATACAAACATAATAAATGTGTTTATTGGAAATGTAGATATAAAACTAAAAAGTTTTTTTAAAGAGAAAATGTGAGCAAAAGAAATTGGAAAAAGTCAAATGCCACATCAAATCAAGGCATTTCCACATTATCAGAACTAAAATGTCATTTTTCATGTCCTTTTCCATCCAATCCACTCTCCTGTGAAATATTATGTGTATATTGATAAAGAATCTACATTTATACAGCCCACGCTATCAGACATGCTTGTTTTATGGCAAATGAGAAGCCAGCAACTTTCCTAGCTGACCACATCCCTCGTATGTCTTTGCTTCACTGTATTTCTTACTCTTAAACTGGGCAATAGGTTTTCCAGCCCCATCACCCCCTGGCAGATGTGGCAACCAAAGAACAAAGGCAGCGGGTATTCGAGGATTGACCCCTCCAGGCCCTGACACAGCAGCCAGGCTCACTGTCTCCAAACCATTTCATCTGACGATGGGCACCAGAGAGCACAAGAGCCCATTAATGGTTTGTCTGTTTACGTTGCAAGTGGGCTTGGGAAGAGCTTTAAATGCATATTTTCCTCTTGGAATATTGAGTCCAGTGTTTTCATTTTTGGAGGCCTGGGGGAAAATTATGTTTCATATTTTAAAAATAAACACTGCTTTTACAGAGGTATAACTGCAGACCTACAGTATCCAGCACACCTTTGCCTCTCGCCTTATTTTCAAAGCTTTAATGTTGCCTGTGTGCCCCAACCTCTGCTAGAGAAAATATTCACCTGAAATGTATTTATCCTTCTTTATTAATTAGCAGCAAAATGACACAGAGAAACTTTATATTTTCTTCAGCAAGAACAGTCATAGAGACTTCATTTACAGAGGGCTCTGAATGATCCTATTCATGGCATGCACTGTCTGCACCAATGGGTCCTTGTATGTATGGCAGAGCAAGAGGAGAAACCCCATCACAGACAGGGCTGGAGGCTAAATCTGCAGGACTTTATGCTTGCATTTCACTTTGTTCCCCACTAATGGCCAGTGTGTCTGTATCTGTTCTACTTATCTGTGGGACAAATTATATCCTATAAACACACACTGGATTTATACATGTTTGAACTCACAGAAATCCATGCATCTGTGCACACACCATGCAAGGAGGAGTTATGTCTGCATGTATGTGCACACATACAAATGGATACGTAAGCACATATGTGCAACCATATTTGCAAGCATGTATTTTCATTTACACATACATCTTCATGCATCTACTCACAGCCTTAAGCTTTTGTGAAGTTTTTATACAAGCGTCCTTGTGCATGCAAACGTCCACACAAAGATCTGCTTGTGTTTTCTATACTAATCCCTCCTCACCTTCTGCAATATCTTTAAATATTTTGATCAACGCTTTTAATGTTGAATGAGCAAAGAACAGTCTGGCAGCACCACTAAGGGCAGGTCCCCTTCTGCATAGTCAAACAGCCCTTCTCTCCAGGAGCTCTCAGTCTGTCAAAGCACTTCTGGAGTAATACGGACTTGAGTAAGGGAAGAACAGCCCTTTGGATCACAGGTGGTTTGCCAGTGCTGCACCAACACAATGCAAATGCAATGCGTGAGCACTCTGAGGGTGCAGCTGAAAAGTGGGCAAAGACAACATCAACATCCAGGGCTTTAATCAGTGTAATACAGCAGTTAATTAAAAGAAAATAGATGCACAGCTTTGCAATGGACCCATCATTAAATTCATCTTACTCTAGTAGAAAATCTCCCTGCTGCTCTTCCAGAAAGGAGACACTGGATTTCTGCTCTCTTGCAGCATCATTGGTCTTATTTGTGGATTCAGATTATTGGCTTCTTGTGGCTGGAGCTGCATGGACCTGATCGCTCCTCTGTTAAAAATAAATCAAACTTATAATCTGCCTGTCCGTCCCGCGCTGCTCCTCTATTTATCTAACTCAGACTGTTGCGTTCTTTCTCCCTCTGCCTCTGCTCACAGCCTCATAGAGCAGCAACTGTTCCCCTCAGGAAGGAATTTGCTCTGCATCCCACGCGTTGCCCCTGCGCCTGCTCTCCTCTTCCTCTCCCTTCCTCCCGTGACAGAGCTCCAGCCCACAAATTAAGCAAAGGAAGCGAAGATATGCAGATGGGAGCTGGAGGTCGACAGGCTAACCCCAGCTCCCCAGGGCTGCCCTCACTGCTCCCACTGTTCCCATCCCAGATTCCCCACATACCGCGTGGCTGCGGGTCCCTTTATAGCTTCCCATCCCCTTCTCCGAGCAATGGAGCCATTGTGGAGGGGCCGCCAGGGCTGGACGTCCACCTCCTCCCCACCTTCGTGCAATATTTTCTCCCAGCCCTTCTCACTCGCCCCTCAGTGCCCCCCCGGCCCCTCACACGTGTCAGGGGCTGGCCCCTTGCCTCCCCAAGGAAGGGCAGGTTAATACCTCAGGGCCAAGGCTCCCGTGTGCCATTCTGCATCCAACCTCCGGCAGCTCCTCCGCAGCCATGGACAGGATTTTCGCCACCTTGACACTCTCCTTGCTGCTTCTCCTCCAGAGCTGTGGAGTCTGGGGGGCACCTCCTCAGCCCAGAGGTAAGTGGGAGCTGAATGCTTGTGGGCTCTGTCCCCGAATTCTGGTCACCAACCTGCTGGGGAGTGCAGGGCGCTGAAGGAGGAAGCAACACCCAACTTCTGGCCAAAAAGCAGACAGCTTCCTCCACTATTTTCCACCAGGCAGACAGACATAGAAATGGACTCCTTCTGCCTGTTTCATTGCTTTGAAGCAAAGCTGGGAGGTTGAGCTGAGCACAGCAAAGGCAGCACTGGGTTGGCTCCGGCCCCACGGCAGCAGCTCTGGGCCCACATAAGTAAAATAGACGTGCCAGTGACTGTGGCATTTGCTGCTGCTACAAAAGGCACTTCCCTGATGCACTGACCATCTCTTCTGATGAACAAAGGGAGAGTTATATTCGCTTAGAGCTGCTAAGCACTGCTGCAGTTGGCATGGGTTGATGGTTGGACTTGATGATCTTAGTGATCTTTTCAACCTTAGTGATTCGATGATTCTACGAAGCCAGAACAGAGTGCTCATTCAACCAGCCCTACCACGAGCAATCACTATTTCTAAAATAAACAGCATTTCATTCTGAATTACTAGGTAGGTTTCCTGCTCTTTTAATTAATGTGGCAAGGATGCCCTGAGAGAGATTTTCTGCTAAACTGATGCATGAAGTTCAGCTGCTCCTGAATAGCTTCAGGTGTGGATGTTTTTAAAACCAGAGGATTTCAATTCTGGTTTCATTCTGCTTTGAAGTAAACTATGCTGAGTTGGGACGTCACCCAGAGCTGCCACCTCCTGGGGATCTGTCTGTCCTGCAGAGCCTGATGTGTGCTAAATCCCAGCACTTACATCTGATATGTTCTATTTCCCAGGAATACACTGCACTTTCATTAAAAAAAAAAAAAAAAAAAAAAAAGAGGTTCAAAATGTTATCACAGAGCTTCTACACAAAAAGAAAACATGCTGCAAAACTCCTATTTGATCTGACTATTCCTAAGGGGAAAAAAAAAAAGCTTTTTTTTTGTTTGGTTTGTCACTCAAAGCAGACGTGACACATTAGCCACAGCAGCAAAGGGGAATCCATGCTTTATTTGTAGAGAAGCTGATTGCAAGACCTTGCATTTTTCTTTGTATTTCCTGTAAAATGGGCAAAACCAACCCCTGCTGAAGGGATTTGCAATGTGAGGGATCTGCCAAGTGAGTTTTCCCTTCCTCTGAAATGAATTACAGTGGCAAAGTGAAAGCCACCCCTATGGGAAAAGGGAATATTATGTTTTAGTGGAAACTAGAGCACCTGATGGAGCAACAACTGCCCTCTTCTCTTCTGCACACCACATCGCTCAGACATTTCTGGGAGCCAGAAGCAGATTCAGCGTTCATGTCTCCCAGGAAACTAACCTGATTATATTCTTTATGGAGACATCACAGGGTATTTATTTTCATGTGTCTGAAAGACTGAGAGCCACATTAGATTTCACACTGAGGACTAGCTGTAATATTTATGTCATAATTTAGAACAGATTTGTTGGCCCAAAAGCTCACATTTAAAAATCTGTCCACAGAAATCTCTTTTATGATATAACCTATATCATCCCTCTCTGCGGAAATCAAATCTTAACAGAGCTCTTGATGACCCTACAGAGGCAGGTTAAATGATAGAAAAAAATAAAGACCAGAATGCTATAGATCTGGTGAGGAAAATGGATCAACTCATTCCAAAATTCATAAAAAATGGCAGTCCTTTTTATGTTTTGTCACAGCTGAACATTAGGATGGAAAACAGCATGAAAATGAGAAATTGGAAAGAAAAATATTAGTCAGCTGTTTGCATTGCTAATGTTTCCCATTTATACTATTTATCTTTTAGAGTGGATATTCATGCCTTACCAGTGGCTTGTAGAGATTAACTATCAATTGCACGGTTCTACATCTCTCTATTGTGTTTTCCCTCACCAGCTCACAGACATAAAGCCGTGCTGGTCTTTGCTCTATTTCATTATTAGTGCCACTAGCTGAAAAACACAAGACTGGATTGTTACGTTGGTTAGTTAGTCTGGGAGTCGTGATTCGTGACTGAATCTGAACTGCTGAGTTTCATTCCTGCTTCTGGTCATGCATGACAAAGACACAAGCTCATTAATTAATACCCACGTAGCTTGCTTATACACCACAGTGAGTTCTTTTGAGACCTCCTTTGATACGGGAGCATATATAACAGGCTTTAGTTCAGCTAAATTCCTCCTTCCATTAAGTTTCCTATAGCCATTAGCAATAGCCTGGTGTGACAAGTGGGAACCCGCTCCCACAAGTGCAGAGCTGCTGTAGGAGTACATATTGTCAACAGCTAAATGTGTTTCTCTTACAGAAGTTTTTATGAAAAGCAAAAGAGCATTTGGAAGTATTAGGTTAAACTGGTCTCCCAGGGCCTCTCTGAGACAGGGACAGAAAGGATCAGGGCTCGCAGGTCATCTAGCCCCAGCTGCCTGCTGTAAGAGGAATTATTTTGTCCCTCTTTGCATATTTTTCTTTTTTTTCTTCTCCCTGCTCATCCTTCCCAGGCACCCTGTGCAGAACCAAACCCACCGACCTGGTGTTCATCATTGACAGCTCTCGGAGCGTGCGCCCGCAGGAGTTCGAGAAGGTCAAAGTCTTCCTGTCGCGCGTGATCGAGGGGCTGGACGTGGGCCCCAACTCCACGCGGGTCGGGGTCATCAATTATGCCAGCGCAGTCAAGAATGAGTTCTCCCTCAAGACTCACCAAACCAAGGCCGGGCTCCTGCAGGCGGTCCGCAGGATAGAGCCACTCTCCACAGGGACCATGACCGGCCTGGCCATCCAGTTTGCCATCAGCCGGGCCTTCAGTGACGCAGAAGGGGCCAGGCTCAGATCTCCCAATATTAATAAGGTAAGAATCGTGGAATCGTGGAAAGGCTTGGGTTGGATGGGACCCCAAAGATCACCTAGTTCCAATCCCCTGCCATGGGCAGGGCTGCCAATCGCTAGATCAAGCACGCTGTCCCTTTATTGGAGGTGTTGTTTCACACTGGTGAATGGTTAGGAAAATCAGAAAAGGAGAAACAGTGATTGTCTGTGTGTAGGACAACAGTGGCTCTGCTCACTGAGGGCAATGCGCCGCCCTGAGACATTGATTCAGCCAGGTCCACTAGGCATGAGCATGCTCACAGCCATCCTCCCCAACAAGTGGTAACAAAAATGCTTCAAATCCACTCTAACGAAATGCGAGACAATCTTCTGAAAGTTTCCTTTGACATGGGCCCTTTCCGTTCTGTGTACAAAGCAAAGTGTTGTTTCTGAACCCTCCAGTGCTCTACTAGTTTTTCATAGGCTGGCTAACAGCTGTGTCTTCCATTCCGGGTATTTTCTTCATGTACACAGACTTCAGTGACTATTTAACATTTCAGACTGTGGTATAAAATCAGATTAATTCCACACTTGGCTGCAATGGGCATCACCACTCCTGACCCAGATTCCCCATCCAGGAAACTCAGCCTTTAAAGAAATTTTCCCCAGATACCTCATCCATCCCTCTGGATTTGTCCCTGAAGGCAACCAGACCTCAGCCCAGTGATGGTCATCAGGAAAACTCTAATCTGAGCTTGTGGAAAATGTTTATTATTGACAATATGTGTTTTAGCTAAACATCCTGAGCTTCTCAGGACTTTTTGTCCTGTGCCAGCTCCACTGGCTGTCTGCTATGAGATCAGACCAGAAAAATAAGCAAAGTCTTTAGCAAGCGATGAGGGCTTTCCAGCAGCTGGATGAGAGCCCAGCTGACGGAGCGAGGAAGCCTGGGATTTTTCTCCTGACTACAACATTTTTGGAACATCAGACACTTTCAGTTTTCCTCACTGATAGTAAAGCTCCAAGGAAGGCAGAGCAGTACACAGAAAAGATGCTTGGGGATGGCAAGTCAAAAATATCACCAAAAAATGAAACACTGCTAAAAATCCTCCAATTCCAACAAACAGCAACCTGAAGGCTGGACTGGACTGGAATTCACAAAAAAATACGAAAAATGAGTCTATCTCCTAAAAATACCACCCATTGATTGTCTCTTGTGCTCCTTCACCCTGCTGAGCTACAAGGAACTTGAAAATTTTAATGAATCCGATTTCATATTGTCTTTTATCATGAGATTCTCTGTATTTTAACCTAATTGTCTGTATTTTAAGCCTAAGTCTGGCTTGACACAATAGGAAGAAAGCCAAGAGTAATAAGTTGGGAAAATCACATCTGAGAAACTTTCATGAAGTTTTGTTGGCAGTTTGCTCCAGAGAAACTCCTCTGATCTGCCATCGCCATCACATCACTCCTCAAGCATAGGAGCCACCAGCTGAAAATCCAACAGCAAGAGACATTTCCACTGAAACCATTCCAGGCAGCCAGTGGAAGGGGATAGATTTGGCCAGAGCACCCAGTGCTGGGAATGCATGGGCAGAGCAGGAGCTGCAGGTGACCCCCGAGGAGGATCATCCATGGCCACGCTCAGTGACTTTCCATCTGGAAGAAAAAGGTTGTAGGAAATGTCTGTCTTGTTGGGTATTGCTTAGCCCAAGAACAGCAACTTAACTGCAACAAGAAGTATCTGAATGATATCTGTTTCTGCTTCTCAGAAATTCTTACCCTGCTTGAAATGAGAAGAAAAAAAAAACCTAATATGAACAAAATAGACGTTTTGCCTTCCACACAAAAAATATCCCAGCAGTTTGAATGCCAGACCACTGCTGAATATCAAAAGGCAAAAAGGCCATTTATTTCTCTATTCTTCCAATACACCCTTGCAAAAAAGCTCATTTCCTTTCTCACTGCACTAATTCTTGGCCAGTATCTTCAGCCCAAGGTGTCCCAGTGTAAAACAAGCCCAGTAAACTCTCCCTCCTCAGACCTTCATTCTGCTCAGGATGAGCCCCTAATTGGCCTTGGATGATGAATAGACCACAGTGATTTCAGCTGCATACATCTCTTGCTCCTTTGCACAGCAGAAATCCAGCATGACCTCATGGAAATCAGCACTAGGATTTCCAACCACGTGGGATCGGTCACAGCACAACCAGATCATTCATTCAGTCTTGCTGTGCTCTGTGCAGCAAATAATCACCACAGGACAGGGAAAAAAAACTATTTGTTTCTGCAGGAGCTCCAAGTAACGTCTCTTTATACCTCTATCAAAACTACAGGGATGCCCAATTACTTTTATCTTTCTTCAGGAAGAACAACAAATAGATTGTCAAATTGCTGAGCAAATCAGGGGGCTATTCAACTTCCTTCCCAATCCCCTGCCGGTGCTGTTACAACGTTCATGTAATGCACTGCATCAGGAGATGCTGCTGCCTCATTAGCTGCTGGATTGCCTGCACACGGCACATGAATTATGACCTCCCAGAGGTGCCCATGAACACTCGTGTGTCTTAGCAAACAAGGTTACGTTCATTTCAGCCGTGGGCTCGCTGATAAATTCCCAGTGCCTGATCCAGATTCTTTGTGCCTCCAAATGTTCTTCTCCCCAATTCCAGCAGCAGCTCAGAAAGCAGTACAACTTCTGAGCACGCTGTGTTTTATTATGAAAACCTTTCCCATCAGATCCAGGCGTGGATGCTGCTGCCAGATGTCTCCTGGGCTGTATCTGGGGCTCAGCCACTCTAGTATGAAGAAACCAAGGAACTGATCAAACTGGGAGAATCACTTGCTTTAGACAGATGCCAGGAGGACACAGAACACCTCTGTCCTATGACAAATGCTGCAAGAAAGACACGCAGTGCTGGCAGAAACCTGCTCATGGGTAGTGCTCCTCGCAGAAGCCACTTGATAGAACATCTTGTTTCCTGACAGGCTTTTGGCTCCAGATAAGCCCTAATTGGCAGCGCATCCCAGCACTGCTGCTGAGCCGAGGGCTCTCTCTCCTGGCAGAAAGAATGGTTGCACGGCTGGCTGCTGCTTCACCCGACTAAAAGCTCCACATTTTTCCAGTTTCACCCATCTCTCATTCCAGAAGGAATGCTCTGGACAGGGCAGCAGGTTGAGTACTGGAAATGCCCAGGGCGCAGCATTCAGCCACCCCACTGTGGAAGGGTGGGCAGAGAGGGGAAGGAGATGCTTCACAGAATCACAGAATCAATAGGGTTTGGAAAAGATCACTAAGATCATCAAGTCCAACTGGGCTCCTTGGAGACATGAGGTACGGAACCCCACTTCTGACCTTAAAAGATGATTTCTCCCTGTTAAGGGTGCAAAACAGCTGTCACACTGTCCTAACTGAGCAGCTGGAGAGTCTTCCCAGTTGCATCTGCAGATGATGTTTTCTGTATCCTGCTATTTGCTTGAACTGTGGATTTTTGTTCTCTGCTTGCATCTAGCTGCTCCTGCTGATTGTATTGACAGTGGTGTCACAACGAAACAATTGCAAGGAAAAGTGGCAGGAGCAGCTGAATTGCTAAAAAAGGAGCATGAAGATTTTGTGACAATGTCACTTAGCAAAAGAAGAAGAAAGAGGAAAATAGAAAGCCTAGCAGCAGCAGCAGGACTCCTAGAGGCTTTCCTGCAGTGTTAGGGTTCCACCACCCAGGGCAGAATCCAGTTTCCACCTGCACCAGCTGGTATTTTAATGATGATGTCAGTCCGTGCAGGATCTCACGCTGCTATTTGTGGTGGAATCAGACATAATGGCTGGCACCGACAAATCCGGACCTCAGGCAGACCACTTCCCCTGAGAGTCAGCTTCAGTTTCTCTGTCTCTAAAAAGGGGAGAAGCCTTAAACTAGTAGTCACTGGAAAGGACCCTGAAAGGCCATCTGGTCCAACTCCCAGCACTGAGCAGGGACACCCACAGCTCCATCAGTGCTCAGAGCCCTTCCAGCTGACGCTGCCTGTCTGCAGGGATGGGCACCCCCGCCTCTCTGGGCAGCCTCAGCCTCCTCACGTTGCCACAACATCTCTTGAGACTTTTAGATGGACAAAGGCGCCATAAAAGTACGGGAGTCGTCCTTAGTGTTGTCTGAGGTTTCACAAAGAGAGCTGAAGTTTGGGTTGGGTGTTAGTTTGCTTATGGAGAGTGCAACCTTTTTCTTAGGGCCGAGACGCACCAGATGTCCCATAATTTAAGCATGGCAGTTTAACCTTTGCAGCTCAGAAAGACACAAGCTACACATTAAGAGAACGGCTCCTGTGATCTCGGGAGGAACAGAAAGAGGGGGAGGAGGTGGCATTTCCTTCTTCTTTAACTTTAGAAATGTGAAACCTCCTTTAGTAAGCCACAAGCGATGGCAGAACGAGCGCTCATCCAGGCCTGGTCTGTGCCCTCCTCTGTGTAGGTGGCAATTGTTGTGACTGACGGACGTCCCCAGGACAGAGTGCAGGACGTGTCAGCGAGGGCCAGGCAGGCTGGCATTGAGATCTTTGCCATCGGGGTTGGCCGGGTGGACATGCACACGCTGCGGCAAATCGCAAGCGAGCCCCTGGACGACCACGTGGACTACGTGGAGAGCTACAGTGTCATAGAGAAGCTGACCCACAAGTTTCAAGAAGCGTTCTGTGGTAAGTCCTTGCCACGCACCCCTCGGGTTCCTAGCCAAGGAGTACAAGTGGCTGCCAGCAAGCTTTTCATGTGGAAGTCTCACATGTCATCATCCTTCATCCATCTGCTTCCTTCTGCCAAGGATTTGGGTGTGCAGAAGAACAGAATATGGAAGATGGATGCTCTTCAAAGTGGCCTTTCAGGAATTTGAGGTTTTGTTTAGGGAATTTCGGGTTTTGGTTAAAGATGTCTCTTTAAAGAAGGCTTTATTTGTTTGAAGAGTTTGTAAACACGATTCACGTACTTCTAGAGAACCTTGAAAACATGATCTTTAAATAGCTGAAATCACTGCCCTCAGGTTTATCGTAGCAGGGCACTACTGACGATCTGCCTTGCAGTTTCCCCTGCCAGTTTCATCTTCTGAGTTCCTATTTAAACAAGGGCTGGTTTCACTCCCCTGCCGCCTCTCCCTGACTGCTGTTATTTTTTTGGAAGCTCTGTGGGGTGGAAAACTCTCCTGGTTGGTGCAGTATCTCATAATTTCTGCATAATATGTAAAAAGAGCCTGGCTGTTCTACAGTCACTTACAGAATCACTAAGGTTGGAAAAGCCCCCTAAGATCATCTAATCCAACTGTCCACCCACCACCAATATTGCTCACTAAACCATGTCCCTAAGTACCAGATCTACACATTGAACAACACACTCCTACACGAAGCAGTGAATGCAATGAGAAAGCTTTATTGCTTTCAAATGTGTAGGAAGTGGTCTATAAAAAGCACCATGTGTTGGGAAGGGGCCTGGGGGCTTCGCACACCCATCCTGCCTCAGCACAGCGTGGCGATGCTTCTTAAAGCTGTGATGCACCACAGTGCTTGCAGCAAGGCATTGCAACCCAATGCACGCAGATGGACGTGTAAAACTATCTGAGAACAATTCTTCAAGTGGTGTAATGCTTCATGATCAACTTTCAGCTTGAAAATAATGGGGGGAGCAGCTTTCTGTCAAGGAAAACTTCATCCTCTTGTAGGAAGGAGGAAAAATTTGAATACAAAGTGAGTCATATATTATAATCAGGTGTCACTGCAGCAGAAGCTCATGAAAGAAAGGAACAAAGACTACATGCTAAGAGGAGCAGAGACAGAATTCAAGAAGGTGGAAGGCAAGACATGAATATTCGTGGGAGTTTGTGTTGGCTGCCCTGGAGTCAGGAGTCAGCTGGAGACAGAGAGGCCTGACAGCGTGTTTGGAAGCTCTGGCATTGGTGTCACTCAAAAAGACAGAGGGGAAAAAAAAATCCTTTCTGTGCCTTGCTTTTCAAATGTGTAAATGCAGATGACAAAGTTCTCCCCCTGGTAAAAACCTTCAGAGATGCATCTGAGGGAAGCACTGTGCTAGGGATTATTACAGCTAACGAGAGCAGCACCGCATTAACTGCCAAGTGGGATGTTATCATGCTATGCAAGCAGCTTCACAGAGCTGTCCTTGGAGATGTACCCAAACACCACCTGCTATTGAAAAGCAGTTTGTGGCCACCATCAGCAGGAAGAACTGCGCAGCACTGTCCAGCTGCTTCCCATAGTGTTCAACGGGCGCAGGGAAAGGGAGACCCTTATTGATCCAGCTACTAGTTAGGCTCATCAAAACTCTGCAGCCTTCAAAGAACTGAGAGCCCAGTGTTGGAGCCAACTGCATGGTTGCAGAAATATTTGGAGAGAGCGATTCTGAGAGTTGCACGTGCAAGGATAGCTCTGAAGTCAAGTCCAAGTGCGTTTGGGCATGAATCCCACCCAGGAATGGCAGCTGCACATGGCACTCACGAATCATAATTGCACCATATAGCTGGAAAAAAATGGGTATTGGCCAGACCAGATGGTAGTTTGGGAACCAAATCTCACCTCATGTATTTGGAGAGGGAATTACATTGTGATATGCTTGACAGACAGATGGTTTTTGCCCTCACTGTAGAAACTACATCTAGCCCTAGCGTGCCTTGCAGTCTGGAGACTTGTCACTACTTGTCTTTGCTTTTTCTACTTCAATTACTATCAAAGAGTAATGACTTCCTGCTGCTTTATATTGCTGCAGGGTGGGTTTAGTTACCACTGAGTGTATAGAACAAATATGATGCTTTCTTCGTGGGCAGTGTGTGCTCAGGTTGAGAAGCGTTGGCATGGTGTTTGGTTTTGATCTGCACTTTTTCTTGCAGTGGTGTCAGACCTGTGTGCCACTGGTGACCACGACTGTGAGCAGATCTGTATCAGCACCCCGGGATCGTACAAGTGTGCTTGTAGAGAGGGCTTCACGCTGAACAATGATGGGAAGACCTGCAGTGGTACGTAATGATTTCCATTTGCACTGAGCTGCGCTGTGGTCTGCCATGGTAGGATAGGGGTAAGGTTGAGAGAATTGCATGTTCTGTTCAGAAAAGGAGGAAAAAGAAACCATGAATGTACAACCAAGGATTATTTTGAAAACATGAGCGTGAACTGTTGTTGATTTTTGATTGATTTAGCATATTTCATTAGCAATGAAGTGGTATTAGGATTTCATCTGCTCATACAATTAAGCAGAATCTTAGTTGCCGTCTCTCCCTTCTCTCATTTTGCTTCAGCTTGCAGTGGTGGGTCAGGATCTGCCCTGGATCTCGTTTTCCTGATTGATGGCTCCAAGAGCGTTCGGCCTGAGAACTTTGAGCTGGTGAAGAAATTCATCAACCAAATTGTGGAATCCTTGGAGGTGTCAGAGAAGCAGGCCCAGGTTGGCCTGGTTCAGTACTCCAGCTCTGTCAGGCAGGAGTTTCCTCTGGGACAGTTCAAGAACAAGAAGGACATCAAAGCAGCAGTCAAGAAAATGGCCTACATGGAGAAAGGCACCATGACGGGCCAGGCTCTGAAGTACCTGGTGGACAGTTCCTTCTCCATTGCTAATGGAGCCAGGCCTGGCGTTCCCAAGGTGGGCATCGTCTTCACAGACGGACGGTCACAAGATTACATCACCGACGCTGCTAAGAAAGCCAAAGATTTAGGTAGGTCTACTGAACTTTCAGCGGCTCGTTTCTCCCTTGGATCAGGCACTGCATCTACTATCAGTTGTACAAAGTGCAAATCCAGTGAGATCTGCCCCTTTGCTGACCTCCTGCTGAGGGTCATTTCCTAGTCTTCTGCCATCACTGCGTTAAATGGATGCAGCCCATGTGAATAAGTTCATGAATTGCTAAATCCTTCATTTCCTTTTAAATTCAGTCTCAACAACTAGATGGGACTAAGGGCTAGCACATAATAGCAGGTCAAGCACAAGGTCATGAAATGCTGATGCTTACTAAACAAGTTGACAGGCTGTGTGAGTGTTCAGCCTTTAGAAGACAAAAGGTCCTTACAAACTGTACGCATGGAAACAAGACTTCAGGCCTTATTTTCTCCTCCTCTCTTCTCCCTACACAGATATTGCCAACATCAGTTGGTAAGGATTTCACAGAGATAAATAAAAAATACTTATCACTAGATTCCAAACATGTTCCTTGAGTTGAACGCTGGGAAAAAAAAAAAAAAAAAGAAAAAAAAAAAGCTGAAAAGATCCAGAAGAAGAAAGACAAGGCAAAAAGGGGAGGGAGGGAAAGTATTACTGAAGTCTAGACCTATTATCATCGTTCAAGTCAAGGCAAACTGCAGTTGGGTTCAAGAGAAGCAGGATTTAAGACAAAAGCAGCAATCAATCTCTGATAGTGATGCTGGGCCCGTGTTCTTAACTCATAGAATGTCTTGATAGACAATATGAGTTGCAATATTGGAAAGCAATCCAAGCACACTTTTACTAAACATGCAGGTCTCCATTGCAGAGGGAACTTTGCTATGAGAGGGGCTGATGAATGGTGGCTGCAGGCTATTTTGAAAAATTCCACTGTTTCCTTTTGCTGTATCATTGCTTTCCTATTAGTTGGATGCATTATCCTGTCAAAGTGTTGTAATGATCTTTTGTTTCTTGCATCTCCAAATCATCGTTCTTGTGGTGACAGTGGTCATTACCTAGATAAGTCCAGTAAAACTTTGCCTGCATCCGGAACCCCGGATGGCCTGAAATAAGTCAGTAATAGCAGAGAGAAGTTTTCAATTTAACAACTGTAGAGTTGCATGGAGGTGCAGAAGGCAGACAAGAATTTAGAAGTTGAAGAGGATTGGTGCCAACTGACAGGTTCTTATTGGTTACAGGCTTTAGGATGTTTGCTGTGGGAGTTGGTAACGCAGTGGAGGACGAGCTGAGGGAAATTGCTTCCGAACCAGTAGCTGAGCACTACTTCTACACAGCCGACTTCAGAACCATCAGCAACATTGGGAAGAAGCTGCAAATGAAAATCTGCGTTGGTGAGAGTGGGGGACTGGGTAGAGGGGGAGGTTTACTCACAGCATTTGCAGAACTGATGAATGCACATTACTCTGTCTATTCAAGAAACGGAGCCCTGAAGCAAAGCTCCAACACTTCTTGACTCTTAGACTGCAAACAGTACCTCCAAATTTTTATTTTGCATAAGTTTATGAGCAGCAAACAGTATGAGCCACCATGATGATGTTATTGGGAAATGAACTCACAAACAAAGATTCTTTTGAGCACGTTTGAACACATCTGTTTCGATCAGATTCAAATTTTCAGGGCACGCTTTAAGCATTAGTAGTAGATCTCAGTGGGTATTCAGGGAACTGGAAGCCCAGGAAAGACTTGAGCCTGTCCTGGATGCAATGAAGTGTAAGAGTCACTAGTCATTTGAGGTTAAAGGCAGAAGTGATCAGTCAGTAATTAGGATGAATGGTATTTTTATTTCCTTCCTGTTTATGACAAAGAAAATGACTTGCTTTACTTCACATCTCAGTGATTTTAATTCTTTTTTGTGTCACTTAACACATCTTCTTGATACTCTGGTCCACAGAGGAAGATCCATGCGAATGTAAATCTATTGTGAAGTTCCAGGCAAAAGTAGAAGAACTCATCGATACATTGCAACGGAAATATATCCTTTGGAAGCTCTGTGTTCAGCACCCAGTGGGCTGGGTTGGGCTTTCGGGAGGGACCACCTGAGAAAGTCTATCCATGGGGAAAACAGTTTAGATAACAGTCAGGAAGCTGAGAAACTAGACAGTTGGGTTCTGAATGTGTCCAGGAGGAAGAATTCCTGTGCTAGAGCTCAGGGTACTGGCCTGACACAAAATAAAAAATAGACTGAAAGTAATAGAATCAAAGTAGAATATGCTAAATCATTGGAGGCAGTAGCAACATGCAGACATCAGATCCTAAGTCAGTTTTTAGGAAGATGCTTAAACGATGCCGATGCCAGAAGTGTGGAAGCAAGGTTCCTGTATTGGATATTGCTGCTGCCTCTGTGTGCTGCAGGTCCTGTGATGCAGCCAGAATGTGGGCTGAGAGCAGCAGTGGCTGTCATCAGCCGGCGAGCAGAAAGAAACAAAAACACTGGTGCCTGTGTGCAAATGATAAGTCATTAAAACTCTGTAGATGAAATGCTTTTTATGCAACAGTAAATGTCTACAATACAAATACCTGACCTGGCTGCCTAAACTCTCCACCGAACTGTTGAAAAAGAGAGTCTTCTACAGCACAACAGTTCTGACCATGTAGTTGGTGGTCTTCGTAAAGTCAGGGGAATTGCACTGCTTAGGTCCAATTTCTCTCCAATTTCCAGTGGTCAAATTCCAGTGCTGAGAAACTGCTCACTGTCTCACATAACTGCTCACTGCAAATATCTTCAATGAGGTGAGTTTGATCCCCTGTATCTGTGGGATTCTTTTTTGTCACAGAATCATAGAATTAATAAGGTCAGAAAAGACGTCTAAGATCATCAAGTGCAATCATTAACCCACCACCACCATGCTCATTAAGACATAAAGGATGTGTCCATAGGGAGCTGGCTGGGCTAGGACCACCTGTTTCCTTCTGGATTCTGTCGTATTCTGTTGCATCCACCTGAGGTGTGAGGGAGCTGGCAGAGGTGATTGTGAATCCCCTTTCCACCATCTATCAGCATTCCTGGTCAACTGGAGAGGTCTCAGATGATTGGAGACTTGACAGTGTGGCGCCCATCTATAAGAAGGGCTGTAGGAGAATCCAGGGAACTGCAGGCCTGTCAGCCAGACCTCAGTGCCAGGGAAGGTTATGGATCAGATCATCTTTGAGTGTGATCACATGCCACGTGAGGGACAACCAAGGGATCAGGTTCAGTCAGAACCTGGGGAAGCTGGCAGCCCTTGGCTTGGACAGGAACAATCTTTGCTGGGTTCCAGGCCCAGAGAGAGGTGATGAATGGCGTCTGACTGCAAACTGGACACAGATGGCGTTCCACAGGGGGCTGTGCTGGGGCTGGCCCTGTTTGATATCTTTATTGATTATTTGAATGAAGGAATTGAGTGCATTCTCAGTCAGTTTGCAGATGACACCAACTAAGGAGGAAGTATTGATCAGCCTGAGAGTAGGAAGGCCCTACAGCAGGACCTGGACAGGCCGGTTGCTAGGCTGAGGCCAGCGGGATGAGGCTCAGTGAGACCGAGTGTCAGGTCCTGCACTTCGGCCACAACAGCCCCACGCAGTGCTGCAGGCGTGGGGCAGAGCAGCCGAGAGCTGTGTGGAGGAGCAGGATCCTGGTAACTGCTGAACATGAGCCAGCAGGGTGCCCAGGGGAACGAGGAGCCCAACGACATCCTGGTTGTGTCAGCAGCGGTGCAGCCAGCAGGAGCAGGAGGCGTCCATCCCTCTGCATGGCACCTCAGTGCTGTGCTCAGTGCTGGGCCCCTCACTACAAGAAAGACCCTGGAGTGCGTCCAGAGGAAGGAACGGAGCTGTGAGGGCTCTGGAGCACAGTGCTGTGGGGAGAGGCTGAGGGAGATGGGATGGTTCCATGTGGGGAGGAGGAGGATCAGGGGAGACCGCATTGCTGTGGCGAGGGAGCGTTCAGTCTCTTCTCCCAGGTAGCAGCAATAGGACGTGAGGTGTAGGAAGAATTTCTCCTCGGAAAGTGTGGTGAGGTGTTGGAACGTGCTGCCCAGCACAATGTGAAGGTGTTGGAGGAAAGGGTAGGTGCAGTACTTAGGGATGTGGTTCAGTGGGCAGGATTGGTGGGAGGTGGACAGTTGGACTAGATGATCTGAAAGGCTTTTTCCAACCTTAATGATTCTGTGATATTGCACAAAGACTGGGAATTCTTGGAAGAGAAATAAGAAAAAGAAATGTGAATAAACTTCAAATGCCTCATGCAGAGAGGAATTAGTGAAACATTGGAGCAGCTCACAGAATGGTCAGAGAGAGACTTCATTACTGAAAATTAGGAGAGAATATCATTTCGGAAAAGTTTTAATTTATACATGCATTTCTGTGGCTTGCTCTTTCAGTTACACAGTATGTTTTCTCCTCTTTACATCAAATAGAGTGAAATTCATGACTTGTATTAAGCAAAAGGTCAGAGTAAATCAGTAGTTCTCACCCCGTGGGTTGCCGCTCACAGGCACATCATGAAGAGCAATTAGTGAAAAGAGCAGAAAATTGCAAGACAGCCTAACTCTAAGAAAAGCAATGTGCTCTGCTCTCTGTGCAACCCAAACTGCTCAAGGTCAGGAATTCTCTCAAGCGGTCAAAACACACACCAACCATTCTTATATTTAAATTTATAGGTACATGTGAGTGTTTGTGCATGTATAAACATTTTCCACCTTCAATAGAAGTTCATCAGCCTGAACAGCTATGGAAATGCCAGGTAGATGACGGCAGCACTCCTCTGCTACCTGCTCCCAGCAGGCAGCTCCATTCACTGTGCAGGGAAGATTTGAGCAATGAATCACTGATATGCACTGTCATTTTTCACCTTAACTCTCGCTCACTGGAAGCTGTGGCAAAAAGGATTGAAGCCCTGGAGAATAAGATCATCTAAAACCCCCAAAAAGTTCTATTCCCGTCTTTCCTGATGTAACAGAACTAGAATTCCTTCCTTTGTACGGAGGGCAGCTCAGCCACAGCGCTATGGCCGGCTTGTATTTCTTTTAAAGAGTCTAGTCTACCTGCATTTGTTTAAAAAGGAAAAAGTAGAGCAGTACAGCAGACATTGTATAACAGGCAGAGCACCGCGTGGCCGGGAGCTAGACCATGCTCATGTTCACTGCATCATATAGAGTGCATATATAAAAAAATGGGGAAGATTTGTTTTTGATTTAAAGCTTAATATATATGTGTGTTTAAAAGTACTTGATTACTGTGAATCCTTGCTGAGTTCTTCCATATCTTCTGTTTGTATGCATGAGGTAATTTAATTTAAAAGTCAAAGTGACTTAAAATCAATTCAGATGCTGTGTAAAAAGTGAACCGGAGCAGCTGATGGGCTTATTATTGTAAACATGAACCATTTGTCAGTTAGTAGGTGAAGTATAGTAATGATCTGCATCACAGATAAGATAGATTAGGATGCTGCTGCTCACTGGGTTTATCCATAGCTACTGTAAAATACAGAAAGATAAAAAGCTCAGCCTTCCTAGCTAGCAGCTGTTCTCGTGATGTTTGAGTGAAGGAGCTCCTGTCTGAGGTAGACCCGTTCTGGCGACGTCCTGAGATGGTGTACAGGGAGCCTGCAGTCGTGGCTCTGCAGCACAAGGCAGTGCTGTTAGCAGCAGCCCAGGTGTGCTCCTCAGCTCTCTGTCCTCCACCCACAGCTCAGCTCCTACCGAGAACCCAGGGAACTGCTGCTGAAGTTGCTGCCGATGGAAGCGGTGCCTTCATCACTGCAGTGACCACCAGCTCCTTCCTCAGCCCACACCTCTTCACACCTCAGCAGCCAGTCAGCCTATTTCAACATCTTCAGACATCCTCTCCTGGATGCTGGATCCCCAGCGCTGGCAAGAAAGAAATAAAAATAAAAGCGCAGCGCAGGCCAGAAGCATCCCACTGCCTTCTGCTAGAGATGTGGGGTGGCTGGGAGCAGAGTGAGGAGGCCATGATTACACAACACGATGCTGCGCCACTGAACGTGAGCACAAGGAGTTGAGTTTGGAGGGATTTGTTTTCGGTTTTTTTGGGGGGGGGTTGTATCAAAATATTTATACTTGAGACTATGTGAAAAGCTTTCAAGGATGACCTGGCCTGTTCAGAAATGATGCCATTGCAGATTTTTTCTGGGTAAAGATTAAAGTTTGCTAAAAACTTTTAAAATGATTTTAAATTTATTTCTATAAGGTTTGATTTCATTCCTGACACTAACACCTCTCCATAATCTTGGCAGCAGACAGGAAAGCCTCCATTTCAAGTCGCAACCATTTATTTCAGCACTAGAGAAGAATCAGGTCTGTAGAGATACTGAGACCTTTCTCTCTAAACAAAAATCTTCTTTACCAACTTGGAGGAGTAAGTCCTCACATTTCCAAGCATTACACCGAGGACTGCAGTCAGTACTTGATAGCAAAACTTAGCAGTCTCAATCCAACCTTGTGTAGCCTAGATCCCAGAATAACCTCTAGCAACTCTGCTTACTTATTTTCTCTTCTGCTTGAAACTAGGGGTAGGATATAGACCAGAAAATAAGGACAAGATTTAACAGTTCTTACCATGACCCCTACTGGCTCCAGTGGGAAATTGCCTGGGCTCAAAAATGCCAGCACTGTATCTCCAGGGACAAGAGGTGGGTAAACCAGGAACTAAAAGATGGATTTGATTTTAATCCATCTTGGCACCCACGGAAATGTCTATGTGAAAAAAGTACTACTGTCGTCATTCCGCTACTGTTTGATCCATCTGGCTGACTTGGTAATGTGATAAAGGTACGTAAGGTGAACGATGGATCCTCACCTTCACAGAAACTGCATCCCTTCATTCTACATTTCTTACTGCCAGTTTAACCCAACAACTTGCATCATAAAACTCAGTACTGCGCATGTCTTTGGAGGTTGAACCAAAGTCCTTTCTGGGTAGGACCATGTCCAGGAGCCACCACCTCAGAGTGGGACATGAAGGGCAAAGGTACCAAGCATTGCTCCTTCCAGTCTACGCAAACCACACTGTGGAAGGCCCCAGGAGACACAGTGTCTTCCAAAGTCACCCAGTTCCTTGTTTCAAAGCAATCCTGGATGCCCCTTCATGCAGGCATGGCAGTTCTTTGTGTTCAGTATTGCAAACGGTGTATCATTATATACCTTTCCAAAATTTTACTGTCCATCCATGCATCCAAGCAGACAACCAATCAAGTAGTCTTCATATTTCTTTCTCCTATGGTTTTCATTCATGGAAAAACTCAATCCAAGCTAACCTTTTGGTGGCAGCAGACCCACCTCACACAGTAAAAGGAAAAAGGAACACAAAGTATGAGTGCAACATAAATTATTTGCAAGTGTATACAGAATGTACCCTAGAGCACATTGAGGAGCTCTGGGAGCACACTGAGGTGCCCTAAGTTAAAGTGGGGAGTTCTGGGAGTCCTCTAAGGATCACTGGGAACCTCGAGGGCATTGCAAAGCACTCTGAGGAGCTCTGGGAATACACTAGGGTTCACTGCAGCACACCAAGGGGTCCAGGGATTCTGCTGAGATACACTGGGAGGACTCTCAGAAATCCCAGAGCAAACCAAGCAGCTCTGGGAGGATTCTACGGTGCCCCCAGAACACATGGGGTGGCACCTGGAAGCCTCAAGGCCGCACTGAGCAGTCACTGAAGCTCCCCCGATGACAGTGAGGAGAAGTAAGAGGACTCCAGCGCGGCCTAGAGCACACTGGGGGCCTTGGGAGCCCACTAGGACACGCTGCAAACCCTGGAGCACAAAGATGAGCTGTGTCACCACTACAGGGCGGCCCATAGGATACAATGGGCGGTTCGTGAGTTCCTCTAAGGCACACTGGGAAGAATCCCGTACAGCCAGTAGCGCTCGCAGCGCTGCACGGCGCCACCTCGCTGAGCGCAACGCGCTACTGCAGCTTTCAGCTCGCTCCGACTTCCGCTTGTCTGTGCGCATGCTTAGTACGGCGCGGAGGACCTTTGACCATAGAGTCTGGCAGCACAGAGCGGCCAAAGCACGAGGAAGAGTGACTTCCAGTGAGCAGGAAGAGAGGGGGCGGGGATGGGGCGGGGACATGCAAATTTACTTCGGCGTCGCGCCAATCGGCTGCACACGGGGGCCACTGGGGGCGTGGCCCAGAGGCGCGGGGCGGAGCTATTTTCTCCCGCGCCTGCGCAGTGCTTCTTCCAGTCGGCCGCCATGTCGCCGCGCAGCAGTCGCCGCACGGGCGCGCACCGGGCGCACTCGCTGGCCCGGCAGGCGAAAACAAAGCGGCGGCGCCGGGACTTGGATGAGATCCACGCGGATCTGGAGCCCGGGCGGGCTGCCCGGCTGCTGCGCCAGGAGCCCGACCCCGACCTGCCGGGCTGTGCCCAGTTCTACTGCCTGCACTGCGCGTGCGTGGGGTCGTGGTGGGGAGTCCTGGTGGGGGGTCTGTGAGGTTCTTTTGGGGCGAGTGGGGAGAGAGCGGAGGTCGGTGGAGGTCAGTGGAGGGGGATGGGGTTCCTGGGGTTGGGGAGGGGAAACGCTTGTCTTGGGAGTGGTTTTTGGAGGGGGCGCCCTGGTGTCTCGAGGTGCTCATGGGGAGGCTGGGGGTCCTGGGGAGGAGTTCTTAGGGGAGGGTCCTGGCTTGCGGGGCAGGGGATCTTGGCGGAGACCTGGTGGGGTAGGAGGGATTCCTGGTGTGGGTTATGGCTGGAGAGGGGTCTGGGTCTGGGGAAGCTCTACATTCTGAGCACTGATTCTGCGCTCTGGTGGTACCTCAACCGTGGGGGTGCTGGGTCTGGAGGTGGAAGGTTCCCAAATCCTCACAGGCTCCCGAATCCATACTTCCCCTGACCGTGGCCTCTTGCCCTTCTATCCCTCAGGCGCTACTTTGTGGACCTGACAAGCATGAAGGAGCACTTCAGATCCAAGGTGCATAAGAAGAGGTAATAGGGGGGTGCTGAGCAAAGCTGTGCCCAGCCCCATGACTAGAATAAGAAGGACAGTGGTGATGCCCTTCATCCATTCACTTCCAACCCATTTCTGTCCCCCACAGGCTGAAGCAGCTGAGCGAGGAGCCCTATACACAGGAGGAGGCCGAGCGTGCTGCTGGGATGGGCTCCTACATCCCTCCAAAGAAGGTCCATGTGCAAACCCAGCCCCTGGATGAAGTCGTTGAGATGGAGGCATCCAGCTGAGGGTCCCTTTGCTACTGTGCTGCTGAAAGGACTCTTTGTTCAGCTCTTTGCCAGGCGCTAATGAGGAGAAGCAGCCAGCGTGCTCCTGGGTGCCCTGGCTGCGTCCCCATTCCTGGGGGAAAGAATGGGTAGCTGTGCAGTGTTCCACTCGCCTCTTTGCTTTCAGAGGTGCCTCTGCTGGAGTCAGAGGTTGAGTTACCATTAAAATATGTTAACCAAACGCTGACATTGGAGCTCTCTGGGGCAGGATGGCAAAGCCCCTTTGTTCTGCCCTCCTAGGGGGAGGGATCCCCACCCGCTGGGGGTTATGCTCCTGAATGAAGTCTTCATCAAGCACTTGGGTTTATTGTAAGCAGCTCACTGTGGGGCTGGCCCTGCTCTTTTGGGCCTTGAAGAGGGCATGCTAGTGTTCCCCCCCCCAGCAAGTACACTTCTAGGCTTATAGAAAATCAATGTCATTGAGTTTTGGTCTGGTGGAACTGTGCAAGTGAGGGGCTGGGGCCGTGCATAGGGCATGATGTGGTCCCCTCATTGCATCCCCCCACCTGCTTCTGCTGATCACATGGCATTGTGTCCCTGTGCTGCTGCTGGTGGCAGTGCCAGTACTGCATGAGCCACTCATCAGGGGTTTTTCCTCCCTGCTGCTTAGCAGTGCGACAACAACACAGCTTTGTTCAGAGGGAAAGGATTTATTTCCATGCACCCTGCCTGGATTTG